ACCATACCAAGTGTAGTGGTTATGTCTGTGTGTCAACTTGGCTGGGCCTGGTTGAGTGGCTGGGCAGCTGGTGGTAGTTATTCCCCACGATGAAACGGCAATCAACTCCATGGTGGGATCTACCACAAGCAGCTGAGTAGCTGCCTTTGGGATGTGGTCTGCTTCCTGTATTTAAGGAGAAGCCTTGGGAATGGTCTCACACTTGGACCCTGCACATAGCCGTGTTGCTGCTCAGCAGCCTGCTATGCTCTGCTGACCTTGGGACTTACAATGGACTTAAGTCAGTGGCCATTGGGACTGTGCCTTTTACTTGTCAACCTTGGGGTTTCTCAGCCTCAGCAGCCAGCAGCTGAGTGAAGAAAAATCTCTAGCTTCAGTGGGCCAGGAGCAGGAGGTAGAGCTGGTCCCCAAGATTGAGGGGCTTTTACTCAGCCCCTAGAGCCTGTCACTTTGCACTTGGACTTAAAGCCTCCAAATTATAAGAATAAACTCCTATTTGTTAAGGCCATCCCATTTGTGATATATTCTTGTTAGAGCAGCACTAGGTAACCAGAACACCAAGTAAGTATTGACAAGGATGTAGAGCAACTAGAACTCTCGTACAAAGTCTTTTCCATGAATGTTTACGGCAGCTTATCTGTAATGGCCAAAAACTGGAAACAGTATGAATGTCCATCAACAGGTGAATGGAAAAATAAACTACTGTATACTTGTACAATGGACACCACCAAAACAAACACTCACTCAAACCCAGTGCTATGGAGTCTATTCTGACCCACAGCAACCTTATAGGACAGAGGAGAACTGCCCTATAGGGTTTCCAAGGCTGTGAGTCTTTATGGAAGCAGACTGCCTCATCCTTCTCCTGCATGGTGGCTGGTGGGTTCAAACTGCTGACCTTTTGGTTAGCAGCTGAACACTAACCACTGTGCCACCAGGGCTCCTACCATGGATACTATTCAGCAGTAAAAAGGAATGAACTATTGACACACGCACATGGACAAATCTCAATAATTACACTAATGAAAGAAGCCAGACCAAAAAAAAAAAGTATATACTATATGATTCTATTTATAACAATTCTAGAAAATCCAAAGTACTCTATAGTGACCAATAAGCAGTTAAGTAGTTGCCTAAGGGTAAGAGGAAGAGGTAGGAAGAGAGGTTTACAGTGGGACACAAGATAACTTTTGGGGATAATGGATGTGTTCATCATTGTTTTGCTTACTTCATGGTGCTCTAACAGAAATACCACAAATGGGATGGCTTTAGCAAACAGGAGTTTATTCTCTTACAGTTTTGGAGGCTAGAAGTCCAAGTTCAAAGTGCCAAGCTCCAGGGGCTGGGTTAAAG